AATAATTCAAACCTGCTATCCGTGTAATTGTCAGCACAAGTCGGATTCACTGTAAATGCTGGTCAATCGCTGATTCACATTTGTTTACAGGAGCGACATGGTAAATTATTTTCTTTCACACTCTCAGTTCTTATGGATGTGGGTATTTTCTTTCTATTCTGATTGGGAGAAATTTGCTTTTTTTTAACATTCGGTGCGATATAACATTTTCCATTAAGGTGGAATTGTTTCATTCTAGAGATTTTCAATGAAATAAAAGAAATCGGAGATTGCACAATGAATTATCTTCTCAAATACTCACTTTATGGTGTTTTTTAAAAAAAATCGTTTTTTTCGTCAAAACTACAAGGCTATAAGACTTCGAATTTTTAAAAAATTGGTTGAAAAAATATATATTCATATTATTGGAGTAGAAAGATGCCCAAGATGTTCGCAATCCGAAATGATATTGCTTTCATGAAAACACGCAATATTCAAGCCTTGAATCGTACTGGAAATTCCGTCTACCTTCGGTTTTACTAAACTTCTGGAATCCTAATATAAAAGCTTCAAAATGGGAAATCATTATTCAAAACTCTTAAATAGAGAAGTTTATTAAGACTACTTTCTAAAGTTAATCCATCTTGTTTCTATTCTGAATGTGAGAAACTTGCTTTTTTTTAGGATTAGATGCGTAATAACATGTTTCATTAAAGTGGAATTCTTGAGTTTTTCAGTGAACTTCCTATCACCAACAACCCGTTCTCTTGCTTTATTGGCTTTGAAAATACCCCAATCACTATTAGGATAACAAACTTCTTGGATGAGATTGAAAGAAAATGCTGTCTTTTCTAAACATTGTTCATTCTACAAGATACCCCGCATCTCTCCAACACAAGTAGTAATAGAAAGGGTCTTCAGCCTGGGAGTGGGGGTCGTCATGAGACCAAATCTTAATGGTTCTAAGGAGAGCAACTACGTGAAAAGAAGGCCCTGGATATTGGTAATATGCAAACAAATGCCTAAACTGATAAAAATAAACGTAATGCTTTAAACTGCATGGCATAAAAATATTTACTTCACTTGCTATTTGATATGTATATCATAACAATTGTTATGGTGTGTGTACACCTATTTGTTGTATCAAATGGCTCATACAAACAATGTTTCACAACCTGAAAGAGACGGTCTAATAAACCAGCACAGATATATTTCTTGTTACTTTTAACATACGGTATACTTGTATGTAGAATTTGTATTTTACTGAATGGCTGAGCAATATATTACAATTT